AAAAAAAAAACACAAAAAATGGGACAAGCCATATGAAATATGTTTTGGGGATGTATAGAGCCCCGAAGTCACATGCTTGCAACCACTGAAGCACACAGATATATTTATGGACAGATAAAACACAAAAGCTGGGTTTCTCCACGGGCTCTTTGGTGACCTTGATGGTGTTCTGACCTTGCTTCCACACCCAGAGTGTTGGTGAATATAAGCTCTAGGAACCTAGGTTCAACTTCAAATCGGAAAGCAACAGTATCACCTGCCAGACGGTTAGCTCTTCTTACTTTTGGAGAAAGGACATCATGGAAGAACACGGAAGGGGCTTTCACTTAAATAAATATATATTTTTTTACATTTGTAATTGAAAAAATTAAAAGGAGGATTGGTGGCATCAGAAATACGGATAGGAGCTTCCCAAAGCTTGTCACTCCTGCAGAAAGACGTAAATTAACCTTCTCAATCTCCCTGAAGCCACAGCCAACAGCTGATGCCTCAGACGATGGTGACGGCTTCCCATAGTGCACCTGTGCAGAGTTAGCCCCAGGGTGGCGTGGGTGACAGACTCTTACAGTACAGTGGGTGAAATTAAGTGTGTTTTGGATTCAGAACACAGTAGGAGTTTGGGGATAGCTGACCATACCACGAGATCATGTCAACAGCAGAGAGAATGCAAAGTCTCTGGCGTTTACACCATGACATGTTTTTTTGGAGCTAAGGGCAGTTTGAAAAGTGGATTTATGCTGGAGCCCTATATTTCTGAAAATCATTTTGCTTCCATCTCCTGCCTAATGATTCCTGAAAAATGCCGTCACCAGTTAGAAACGCTCCATCTTTTCTTCCTATTCTATTCCATCACACCCAGTGAAAGCCTGATCTTAGAGAGTCCAAACAATTGCAGTAAATACATTCCTGATTTCAGCAGCATTTCAGCAGCACGCGTGAGTCACAGTTATTCTTCCAGGATCCGGTTTAAGAGCAGCAATTACGAGTCACTTTAATGTCTGAGAAAAGGATGGAAAACAGGTCCTGCAAATAGCAGGCACATGTTCTCTTTTCAAACCATAGTTCAAACTGTTGGTAGGCAATGCAGTTTTCATGTAAGCACTCTGTTTTCCCCAAACCTTGCAGACTCCATTACTTTTAAGAAGGTTCCACATGAATCAACCAAGCCAGTCGGGCATACTAACTGTTTGTACCTGCACACACACACCAGGGCCAGTTTCATTCCACACCATCACAAATGACGGAGGCAAAAACAGTCACATACTTTGGTTTGAATGAGCAGGGCAGAAACATGCATTGTGGGTAAAACAGCTTCGATATCGTACCTACAGAATTCCCCACTGAGCTGTTTTCTGCCCTTAACACCTTGAAGTTTTCCCCAGCTGAACTCTTTGTACATATCCCTCAGAACCAGCTCACTTCTGGAATGTCTCCAATTCATTCATTCCTCATCCATTCGTTCAATCAACAAAGAAACGTAGATTGTGCCAGGTTGAGACACAGTGACCCCTCCGCTCAGGAGGCCACGGTCCAGCCCACTGGTCTAGCAGCTTGTCCAACAGTGTGAGCCTCAGAGCTCAGTGTTGGTTACCTGACCCTGTGTCACAAGAACGACTAAGGTCAATTGCGTTTTGACTATCTGGCTCCGCCTCGTCATGGGGCCTTCTCCCAGAGAAACAACCCTTACCAGGCTCCCACTTCTCTGCTACCTGTGGAGTTATCTTTTCACACTTCACAACAAACATGTCCTAGTGAGGATTCCTTCACGTGAGCCTCCACTAGCAGGACGGAAGCCCTCCAGGGCGGGGACCGCGTTCTCTGCTTGGCGTCGCCAGCAGCCCCGCACGAGGAGGCAGCTCACCCATCAGAACCTTGTAGCGTTTCCAGTAGCTAAGCCCCACTGTGAAGTGTGCTGGGCTCCTGACTGGGCTTCTGATACGCTGCCCACGGCAGTGCGTCTGTCCATCCCAGGTGGAAACAAGCTCTTCACAGGCACAGGAAGAAACCGTTCATTCATTGAGCACTATTCTACGTACTGGAGGATGGTTAGTGCCCCTGGACTCAGGGCTCAATGTCAGGGGCATCTTCCAGGCATTGGAACATCTCAGAATGTCATATTGCCATGTAGGGGGACTGAAGTACTACCTCACCCACACCCCACAAGCTGTAAACCCCCAGACTAGAGTATTTTTAAGGCAGCCATTACAGAGATAAAACATGCATACTAACTTTAGCCAAAAAGATTGTTTGTGTCTCTACTCTTAAAACTTAAAGCCTTCAGAGTGCAAAGGATAAGGACATTTCCTATGTCCTTGTGATGTCCCCACTGCTGACAGCATGGTTATCTCCACTCATCTCTTTGAACTTATTAACATGGCATCCTCCTGGGGTTTGGCAATACGCCATGCAAATGAATGTCCGCTTCGGGACAATCAAGGGTGCTTTCCTTCCCCAGCTCTGTGCGGTTCCCTTCTGCCTTCTATTTAATACACACGTGGGCTTCGTCCTGCTGCCAAGACTCCCTAAGATGCGCTGGATCCAATTTTCAGGATGTATCCCATCTACTCCCAGTTCTCTCAGCATCTAACCCTCCAGGGTGTTTCTTTTCTAAGCCTTTGAGGAGAGCAGATGCCTGTCTCTGGCTCTTCAAATATATGGTTGTTTCTATAGCTATTTGGAATCCCGAATAGATTGGAAATTTCCCAAGGGCACGCACACCCCTGTTTTGATTCTGTATTCCCATGGCAATCTTGCATTCAA